TACATCCTACACACCCCTACTGTAGAACCTGCCAGCAACCTGGGCATGTGCTCTTGGCCACAATCAAACCTAACACTTCAATCCATAGGCCGATGCTCTATCCTCTGAGCCAAACCAGCTATGGAGGAGTGTAAGAGAGAGATCATCAGCAGTATAGTCATAGTAGGGGACATAAACACCCATTGACTTTACTTAGTAGATCTCCCAGACAATAAATCAAAAATAAAATGGTGACTCTAGAATTTTACTATTGATTTTTAGCTATCTTACTATTATAATTATACTGTGTTCTGAGAATTGACTTAATATAATTTGTATTCTGTGTTTATTTCATGGGCCAAAAGGTTTTTTATTGTATATCCATTAAAACTGCTGCATTTCACTATTAGCAATGTGTCCTACACAGAGCAATTGAATATATACTATGAATATATACTATGATACATACATACACACACACACACACACACACACACACAATGCCTGCTATTATATTTTGTCAGCATATTAAAATTATATTTTGTAAGTATAATATTTGTACTGACAAGATGATATATCATACCCTGCCCAAGATACATTTTTTTTGCCTGGATGATTATTCAATTGTTGAATCTGGATTATGGGAGATTTCAATGATAATAGCAGATTCATCTATCTCATGAGATCTGTCAGTTTTAACCTCACGTATTTTTATGCTGTCAGTTGTTCATATGTTTAGAATGGTTCGATTACAAGCTATCACTATCTTTACATTTAAAGTGTGTTTACAATATTCATTCTAAAAAAATCTAAGGCCAAACAATACTATACTACTTCCAGGAGTTTTGTAAACTATCTGTTCAGATTATTCCCAAATTCCTTTTCTATTCCTACTAATATTATTTCATTTTACATATTTCATTAAAAAATCCAATCTATAAAATCTAACCATAAATTTAATATGTTCTCCAACTTCCTCATGGGGGAAGGGCTAATTTCTAAATAAAGAGAGATTTAAAGCCAACCAACAAAGGAGAGTCTGACAAAGCACTTCCTTTTCCTCTGTGGTACAGAGGGAGCACATTTAGAGTCCAAATAGTGTCATACGTCCTATAAAATATATCCCAAATATATAGGTAAATATCAAAATGACTACCACCTTGAAAACGCATAAACTAGAATCACATCAGGCCTTATAAAACAGAAACACCAATTTTAAATCATGCTATTGCCCCACTAGATTGTGGTAATCTATTTCCAGTATAAAAATTTGCTCAGAGTTAAAAAGGAAAACTGAAGTAAGCATGAAAGCTGAAATGGTCTCTGTATATTTCTATACATGTAGTCCGGCATTCAGTAAATAATTAAAGCAAACTGGGGAAAAAATTTAAAGAAAAATCAAGGAGAAAAAGTAAATAAAACAAAAAAGAGATTCAGATACTAAAATTCTCAAACACTAAAATAACTGATTAATATGCTCTAAAAGCCCTACCTGGTTTGGCTCAGTGGACAGAGCATCAGCCCATGAACTGAAGGTCGCGGGTTTAATTCCAGTCAAGGCACATTCCTCAGTTGAAGGTTAGGTCCCCAGCCCTGATAGCAAGTGAGAGGCAACCAATTGATATTTCTCTCTCTCTCCCCGCCCCCCTTTCCACTGTAAAATGCAATGGAAAAATATCCTCAGGTGAGGATTAACAACAACAAATACTCAAAAAATAAGTGCTGAATAATTTTAACACAGTTATAAACTATATCTGAATCCATCCAAAATTTTAGGGGGAAAAATAGAGTAAACAAAATAACTCAAAAATTGTTTAACTATAGGTGAGATATAGAAAAAGATTCTACTGAAATAAGACTCAAAAGAAAATAAACATAGAAGTAGAAAAAAGTTGCCAATAAAACCAGAAAAGAGACACTGAAAGCTGTAACACACAAGTACTTAAACAGATAAAAGAAAAACAACTGGCCGAGACCGGTTTGGCTCAGTGGATAGAGCGTCGGCCTGCGGACTGAAAGGTCCCAGGTTCGATTCCTGTCAAGGGCATGTACCTCGGTTGCCGGCACATCCCCAGTGGGGCATGTGCAGGAGGCGGCTGATCGATGTTTCTCTCTCATCGATGTTTCTGACTCTCTGTCTCTCTCCCTTCCTCTCTGTAAAAAATCAATAAAAATATATCTAAAAACAAAAAAGAAAGAAAAACAACTGGCCCTAACTGGTTTGGCTCAGTGGGTAAAGCATCGGCCTGCGGACTCAAGGGTCCCAGGTTTGATTCTGGTCAAGGGCATGTACCTTGGTTGCAGGCACATCCCCAGTGAGGGTGTGCAGGAGGCAGCTGGTCGGTGTGTCTAACTTCTCTATCCCTCTCCCTTCCTTGCTGAAAAAAACTGAATAAAATATATTTATTTTAAAAAGAAAAGAAAACCAACTGAGGAAGAGCAATTTTAAAGAGGTAACCTCTTGCACAACATAAGAGGACAAGATACAGACGCAAAAAATAAGGCAAATCACAAACAAGGTATCTTAAAGAATTAAGATCATGATTAGAAAATTCAGAAAACCAAATATAAAGATGAATTCTTAAGTAGTCCGCAAAAGAAGTAATAAAATAAATCAAAACCTGGGTAAAGGTGCACTTAATATTTTTTGGGTTAATAATAAAATCATGATACTTTTCATAAAGAAAGAATAAAAATCTGAAGTCAATGGAATACAAATTTTAAACTGGAAAAATAATACAATTCTATACTCATCGAAAACATTCATCAAAAATAAGAGATTTGTAATACAAAAGGGGATAGAGCAGGCTATTATAAACAAAAGCATGTTTAATTCCATTAACATACTTCTTCTAGAATTGGTTTAATAGACATGCAATATTTTAAAATAAGTTTAAAAGCATATAGTGGACACCTGAACATATTACCAACTCTACATATTACCATGGTTTGTCCAATAACAACAAAATATACATTCTTTTTAATAAAAACAGGGATTAGGTAATTTACAAAGACTGGATGAAATGTAAAATTATTCAATAATAATAAAACATAACCAGAAAATTATGTAATTACTAGGGGCCCAGTGCACGAATCTGTGCACCTTGGAAGGCACTGTGAGCCACGAAGCTGTGGTGGTCACAGGGGCATGTCTCCACCCATCCTCCATGCCCCCAGCCGGCCTCTCCCTCCACGGCCTCTGGTCCCCTATCTGCCTGCAGCCCAACTCCCGCCACCGTGCTCCCACACCCTGATGGCGCCGGCCCTGCTCACACCCGCTGACAGTGTGGATTGATTGGAGTGCACATGGAGCAACTGGGGGCGGCTCCAGCAGCAGGTGTACCCTCAGGAGCAATCAGAGCTTTTGGCCATAGCTCACACCAGTTGAGAGCACCGAGCAATCAGGACTGGCACTGGGTGCCAGCAGTGGATGCAAACAGCGGCTGATGGCCTCAATCGCCCTCAGGAGCAGGGGAATGTGGAGAAGTCCTGAGGGGCAAGTGGGGCCGGCAGCGGCTGCTCGCACCGACTAATGGTGCCGATCGATCCCTCCCAGTCCCCATCATGCATCAGTGGGGTCCCATGGCCTGGCCTTCCACCCTCTCGCAATCTGGGACCCTTCGGGGGATGTTGGAGATCTGGTTTCGGCCCGATACCACAGGCCAGGCAGAGAGACCCCACTGGTGCATGAATTCATGCACTGGGCCTCTAGTAATACATAATCACAATATACATGCTAAAGAGCAAGTTACATTGTATTGCTTAGGCTATAATGGCAAGAATAGTATGCACATGTTCCATACAGGCAAAACTACATAGTACACATCAAGAAAAATGTAGCTCTTTTTGGAATACTTCCAATCTGCATTTGGTTGCATTCCCAATAAGAAGGGCAAATAATATAAAAAATAATATATCAGATCAAGTTTTGTTTACTTCAGGACCACAAAGCGGATTACAATTTGAAAGATCAATATTAACTTCAAAATCCAAACAAGATGCAGGAAACAATTTTCTTTATATCTCCCGATTAAAGCCCACTGAAGTCACTCAACATGACACATATAAAACAAGACTCCCAAGAACATAAAGAGAAAGCAAACCAGAGAAACCAAGATGGCGGCATAGGTAAACACCGGAAATTGCTGCCTCCCACAACAACTTCAAAAATACAACTGAAAGACAAAACAGACATCATCCAGAACCACAGGAAGGCTGGCTGAGTGGAAATTCTACAACTAGAAGGAAAGAGAAAAGCACATTGAGACTCAGAGGAGGTGCGGAAGTAAAGTGCAGAGGTATGGAGGCGCATGCAGAAACAGCTGGCAACTGAGGATGTGGTTGTCTTTTTCAATTAGGAGTGAGTCACAAGCCCCTGACTGTTCTGAACTCCAGTTCCAGAAAGTCTCTGGGGACCCAGACTCACACAGGCAGAAACTGGACTGTCTGGCAGTGGGTGGAACTCAGAACTCAAGGGCAGCTTTCTCTCAGAGGTGCTTGCAGTGAATACCGGGACACTGAGACACAGGACCCCTTAGGGCAGGGCTGAGGATCAGCCATAGCTGTTTGCTCCGCCATGTTCATTCCCTGAGACCCCGCCCCAGCCAAGCGACGAGAGAAGCTTTTGCATTTAAATGCCCTGGCCCTTTACAATCTGAAAATTACCTAACAAACTTCAGCTGGGCCAGACAAACCCAGAACTTCCAAGAGAAGGCCCAAGGCCCCCAGCGGCTTGCATTGCTTCACAGCTAGGCCTCATCTGGGCACCTCCAAACCCCAAACAAGGAAGGAGAATCTGTAGATCTCTTCATAGCTCCTGCTGGGTAGCCTCAGGTAGAGGCTAAATTAGCACCTCCTTAGAGGCCGAAGAGCCAGTGTACCCACTGGTCAGATTGGGACCATCCAGATTACAGCTCCTCAAATCCATAAGGCACACACTCAGGGGGCAGACTCAGTGAACACCAAAGCCCCACTGAAGCAACTCTTGCCCCATAAGGTGATTCTCAGCACAGAAATTCTCAGCACAGAATTTCTCTCACCGTAGACAAAGCTGAATCTCACAGCCAATTGGCCTAGAGGTCAATTCCTCCCAGTGATACCTACAGCAATCAAGGCTTAACTACAACAAGACTGTGCACAAAGCCCACAACAGGGTGCACCAAGAGTGTCCACTTCAGGTAATTTTGGAGGCTGAGCCCTGTAGGACACCTAGCACACAAAGCCACTCTACCAACACAGGGAAACATAAAAAATATGGCGACAAAAAAACAGGTCACAAAGGACAGAAATGGAGGAAAGCAAACTACTGGATATAGAGTGCAAAACCACACTTATAAGGTTTTTCAAGAATTTTCTAGAAACCACTGATAAATTTAGTGAGATCCTGGAGGATATGAAAAAAGATCAACTAGAAATTAAGCATACACTGACTGAAATAAAGAATATTATACAGAGATCCAACAGCAGACAAGAAGATCCCAGGAATCAAGTCAAAGATTTGAAATACAAAGAAATAAAAAACACCCAACTGGAAAAGCAAAAAGAAAAATATCCAGACATAT